AAAAAAAAAAAAAAAAAAAATAATAATAATAATAATAATAAGACATTTTACTACTTACTCCCTTTGCCAGTAAAAAAATGTAACATAATTGAGGAATGCTAACTTTATATTCATTGTGAAAGCTTTGCGTTGGAATTGATGATTACATTTAACCATATTTTTTGTAAATTTAAATGGATTAGAGCTCATATGACTAGATTAGCTGGTATTTGATATTTAATGAATAACACTTAAGTGTTTGGAAAAGTATTTGTTTATTTATTTATTTATTTTTTAAAGACGGGGTTTCACTACGTTGGTCAGCCTGGTCTTGAACTCCCAAACCTCAGGTGATCCACCTGCCTTGGCCTCCAAAGTACTTGGATTAAATGCATGAGCTACCACGCCCGGCCAGAAAAGTAATTCTTAGAATTACCTGTGAGCCTCAGTTTCATCATCTGTAAAATTAGAATAATAATAGTGTCTGCTTTATTTTTTTTATTTTATTTTTTTGAGATGGAGTCTTGTTCTTGTTACCCAAGCTGGAGTGCAATGGTGCGATCACAGGTCACCACAACCTGCTCCTACCAGGTTTAAGTGATTGTTCTGTCTCAGCCTCCTGAGCAGCTTGGATGCCCAGCCAATTTTTGTATTTTTAGTGGAGACGGGGGTTTCTCCATGTTGGTCAAGTTGGTCTGGAACTCTCGACCTCCCAAAGTGCTGGGATTACAGGTGTGAGCCGCCATGCCTGGCAGTAATGCCTACTTTATAGGATTGTTATGACAATTAGATGAATTATGTAAACTACTTAGAATAGTGTCTGGTATAATAAGCTTCATGTGAGAGTTATTTTGAACCATAGATAACAATCATCTTATTGAGAAAATACCATTTGCATGTGCTAGTTATAAAAACTATTGTGTAGGGCTATATAATTGGTGAGGTTACAGCATTTTGTACTTCTATTGTTAGTGGACATTTGATTAGGAATTAAGTACAGATGTTTTGCCAATTTTAAGGAAATAAAACTTTTAAAGGAGTTTTTAACCATTTATGAAACTGTTTAGTCATGATGTGTTTTTGTTTTTTGTTTTTGAGACGGAGTCTCTCCCTGTTGCCCAGGCTGGAGTGCAGTGGCACGATCTCCACTCACTGCAACCTCCACCTCCTAGGTTCAAGTGATTCTCCTGCCTCAGCCTCCCTAGTAGCTGGGATTATAGGCACCCGCCATCACGCCCAACTCACTTTT